GATAATTGGACAGCACATCAAGCATATACAGCAGTATCCCAACAATATAAACATCAGTATAAACCATTTAGGTAAATTGATCATGAATGTTGTATATAAGAAATTTTTAATTTTTTCACACCCATGGCTATAATTTAGATAATTTTAAGTAGAGGCCAGTAACAGTTAAGTTGGTTATAATATAATGAATGACATGCAATTTATTTATAATAAAATGTTTGGTTTCATAATAGGGATGCATCATGCTTATTAAAATCAGAATATTCAATAACAGTTGAAGAGTGTGTTAATGCTTTATTTAAAGCTAAGTGGTATGGATTTTTTGACTTTGATGATTTTGATGTGAAAGAATATGAAAGATATGAGGTAAAGTAACATTTAAAATGTATTCAATCACTTTATTTATAACTAAATATTTGTTTTTATTTTATAGACTGTCAACTATGGAGATATTAATTGGATTATACCTGGGACTATGTTAGCATTTTCATCACCACACTCTCGAGATTTTACTGACAAATGTAATAACATTATACATATTTTATAAATATTTAATTGTTTTACTAAGTTAATAATTATTATTTATTATTAAATATTTACATTCTTAGCTGGTTACCAGATACATTCCCCAGCTTACTATTATGAGTACTTTAAAGAAAATAATGTCAAACATGTGGTTCGATTAAACTGTAAAAAGACATATGATGCTAAACGCACTTTTGTAGCAGTTGCCAATATTCAGCATACAGATATGGTTTTCACTGATGGTACTCCACCACCCAGTGCTATACTGAAATCATTTTTACATCTCTGTGAACACTATAATGTAGAAGTCTTCAAAGGTGAGAGAACAAATGATGAACCAAATCTAATCATTACAAATAAAAGTACTAATAGTGAAGCTATAATAAATAAATGTGCTGGTGCTGTGGCTGTACATTGTAAAGGTAAAATACTTTATTGTATTTTATAACATTTAATCTATGTGATTATTATTATATTTTCAGCGGGATTGGGTAGAACAGGTTGCTTAGTGGCTTCATATATTATGCAGCATTGGACATTCACAGCAGTTGAGGCTATAGCATGGACTCGTATATGTCGCCCTGGGTCAGTAATTGGTATACAACAACAATGGCTTATCAAGTAAGGATTTTTGAATATAAATTAAGAAGAAATTAACAAAGAAAATGAGAGTAATTTATTTTGTTATTAAATAATATTATGTTAATAAAATAATAAAGTAAAAAAAAAATTATTAAATGTTTAATACTCATAAATAAATAAATTTTTATAATTTTTTCTCTATGTATTTCTTTATTTATTTGTTCATATTCAGTTGTGGTTTACTTTTGGGTTTTGTAATTTTATCTGATGATGAATTTTCTATTCGGATACAGTCCTACAATAAACATATCAATAATACTTCATTTATTTAATTATTTATATAAATATTATGTTATTTGTTCTTGTATCAATACTAATTATTACTTTATTTTATAAGACTTATTTTAATTGATATTTAACAATACTTCTAATTAAAACCATAATTATAGTTTTAAACATATGAAATTATTAATAAACAATTTTCTGTTATAAATTAAATATAAAACTAATGAAAAACATCTACTATATATTAAGCTGCAGATATAATAATTATATTTTCAAATCAGACAACTATAAGTCTCCTTTTGTGTGGATGGGTCATGGGTATTGTTAATATTCATAGAACATATTTCAAATGTGTATCCCATTAAATATTTTGTTATAATGTATGCTATTGGTTTTATAAATTGTATTTAAACATAATATACTTTCAAATAGTAAACAAGGATACATAAAATCATTGGGTGAACAATGGAGAGAGAAAAGAAACCTTCCTTTAAACAAGTATAAACGATTCACCTATGGAGTGTACAGTATTAAACGGCACACATCTAATGCTATCACGTATGAGTATGTTGATCCACCTTCTCAGTCATTAGTTGATATCGAAGATCAATCCTCTTGCAGTAGCAGTGGTGATAATGAAATAAGATATGTACAAGAGGTTAGTAATTATGTTTTGCAAACTATAATAAGTTAATTTTTAATTATTTATTAACCATACAAATTTAATTACAGCACAACCAAAACAGGCTTTCGACTGTACTAAAACAGAATATAAAGACTAATAATCATTCCTTCCAAAGTGATATTAGTTTCCCAAATTTAAAACAAAAACGGTCTGCATTGAAACCTGAGGATGTCAAACTCAAGGGTACTCTTTTAACAATAAAAAATAGCCGCAGAGCCACAAATGTATCCAATGAAACTAATATCAATAATATAGTAAAAAAAAAAAATACACCGCCAACTACAATTACAAGAAGTAATTTAAAGGTTTCAACAGTTGTCAAAAAAAATACAAAATCCATATCATTAAATAACCAAATCAATAACAGATCAACAGGAACATTTACACAAACAGAAACTGCATCAAAGTTTGTATATATTTACAATCATGGTAATATTATTTACAATTTATTTGTATTTTAAATTTTATTATTATTATAAACAATATGATGGATACTGATTTTTTAATTTGTATCATTTTGTTTCTATAGAATAACAGATGAATCACATCCATCTTATACACTAGCTACAGTTGCATCAACAGCACGGGTGTCTTCTCAGCCACGTAATCAAAACAATATTACCATTTAAACTAAATTCACAATATTCTTCTTGTTTTTCTTCATCATTGCCTTTATTATCAAGATGAGATCAATTGCTCTTATTTTTGCCAGCCACTTCATTAGTGATATTATTTTTATTATTACTGCAGCTATTCTTTAGGGCTCCACCGGTGTACAATATTTGACACAAAAATAATAATAAAATAAACTCCTGCAATTCCTCATATCATTTTATGTATCTCAGTTAACCAAATGAACTAACTGAACAACTAATTCCCCATTCATGTGACCAATGATATTAAAAAAAAAAAAAAAACTATTTACCATCAATAATAAAAACCTCATATCAGCCACTATTTAAGGGTTGAATGTCAAAATCCCACTGCTAAACAAATAATTCCTTAAATTAATGTATAAGATATGAAGAATGTAGATATGTTTTTTTTATCAAAATTGTTTGTAAATTTATAACAATTTATAACAATTTATTATTTATTTCGTTATTATTATTATTTGTATTCTGTTAAAGCATTTATTTTAGTTTAACAGTTTTAATAGTCAAATAGATATTTATTTTAATTTAATTGAATTTAAACAAAATTTAATGAGATGTAATTAATGTAATAAGAAACCAGTAGGTAGGTATCTGTTATAGTTAACAAAACTAAAATCAAATAACTTCTTATTTTGCCTATCTGTTTTCATTGTTTTTAATTTTTGTAAACTACCTATGTTCTCTACCAAAATATTGCTCCAATAGAAAAAAGACAAAAAGAAAAAATAGAAGAAACAGACCTTTTTTTATTGCATTCCGGATCTAGTTGGTGACTTTCTTTGAAGTTCTTTAAATAAAGAAAATTAAACAGGAAAATGTATGAAAATAATTCTGTTATTATTATAAAATTTGGTTTATTTAATATAATTCAGTTGAAAATATTCGTAGAAACTTGAAATTTGGTCAGAAAACTTATATTTTTGAGCTATTTATAGACGTTTTAATTTTGCAAGATTTTTACACAATTTTTATTCAGTAGGAACTCTATGAATAAAATTATTAAACCAAACAGAAATGCTTGAAAATTTATCAGGTGGTTCATTATATTCATATCTTAATTTTTGTTAAAAGAAAAAATTGGTTATTGTGGCCTTTTAAAACTTGTATTAACAAGTATAAATTCCCCTTTATATCCTGCCTTCCCTACTTCCACCTATAACAGTGGCCTACCCATAGTGTGAAGTATGTCCTTTTTTAAACATTTTTTTACTGTAAACCAGCCATTTTAAATTGATTAAAAATACTTTTAAGAATATATACTATTTACCCAGTCTTGTAAAGTATTTAAATTAAATTTTAAATTTTATTTTAACACATTTAAACATTTTATTTTTGAATAGGTTTTCTGAATACAAAATAATAGTATTCGTTACAAGACTGTGTATACCTAACCAACCAAGGAAATTGCTAGTTAATAATAAAAAAAAAATTACTCTATAATCAAAACTTGTGTAGTACCAGTTATATGATGTTAATGGTGTTAAATGTTAGATTTTTGTTATTGTAATATTTAGTTAATCTAAGTGAATTTGTTATAAATTTTGTTGTTCTAATATGTTTGCCTTAACAACGATAGTAGTAAAAAAAAAAAAAAAACACTAAAAAGCAGCTATGATATTAATTTAAATATATGTAAGCTATTAATTTATTAAATGTTATATTATGCACTTGTATACTAATCATAGAATGATTAAGTGTAACTATTATATCAATGTATTTGTAAAGTGTGGTAGATATTTTAATTATATAAATCTTACCATAAGCATAATTATTCTATCTGGAAACTAATGTAACCAAAAGAAACCAACAACCTCAATCATCAATAAAGTAAAAAATTCTGCCAAGACTGATTAATTTTATTACAAGAAGTAATTAACAATAAGAGGTTGCAATATTTTAACAATTTAAATAACTGCCCACTACTAGCAAACAATGTTGGAAAAAATTATTAAAAATGTCTATTATAGTTTATTAAACTTAATTAATCTTAGTTTTCAATATAATTTTAATAGTATCTATAATTTTAATAAACTGGTTAGATAACTGATAATATATTTAAATGAACTTTAATTATTATGTTACTAACTATAACCATATAAGTTTACTTCAATTATAAATATAGAAATACCTTTTTTTAAGTGTTTTGTTTTGTTTTTTATTTGCTAAAGTTTATTATATATGTATTTCAACAAAAATAATTAATTCAAATATTACTTGTAAAATGATATATTATATAACACAATATATTCATAATATATTTTATAATTTTTTTTTTTTATTTAAGTGTTTTTAAGTCATCTTAGCTCTCAAAATAATTATTTTAATAGTATCTATAATTTTAATAAACTGATTAGATAACTAAAGAGGATGTCTTATCAAATATTGGTGCACAACCATTTTATCTACTATCATGATGTAGGTATCTATTATTCAAATATTTTTGCCTACAAATACATCATAGACATTCAAGATCCCTATGTAGGTTGATCCAAAATCTGTTATTTACTACAAATATATTGACCTAAAATTGATGTCTTTTGGATTATAATTATTTATTTACTGGGATATGTACATGACATGCCATCATTTATAATATTATCAATTTGCTTTAAATATGTTAGTATTATCAAGGCAAAGTAGAAATGTTGAATGTTTAATTAGTGGCCTGGTGTCATTTATGAACAGGAGGAAAAGTATTGGAAGTAATTGGTCACATTGTAGTCCCATTGATTGTTATTTTGATGATTTTAAGATGATTTTGATTTAGATTTTCATATTGATTTCTACTCAATAAAAAACTAAGAGAGCAACAGGTTCATTATATCATGATCTTATTCAAGCACTTCAAGAAGGTTCTGCAGATTTGTTATTTGTCCTTATAGATACATCACCTGTTATTAATCTAATTCAAAACTAAAACACTGTTTAATTGAGTGTTTAAATCATCATAGTATAGTATTGTATTGGATTTATGGAAACCTAGTTGTATGCCAGTCATACATGAGGGTTTATAGCAATTACATACTTGGTTTTCATGTTAAATTAACACCAGTTTTATATATTTAAGATATATAAATTAAAACTTTATTTTGGAAATAAAAATATTACAAAAAATTGAATTCTTAATTCTTTAAGTTTAATATATTAATTACTAATGATGAAAATTAATAAAATATAATTATCCATTATTAATAGTATAGGAATATATTTCTATCCTCACCTCTCATATGCTGATATTTCTTCTATTTCATCCTTTCTTAACAGTACAGTAATTTAAACTCCTGATCAACATCAATCTTTCCCCATGTCCCAGTTTATTAATCAAGAAACCATTCACTTTTCTATGTTTCATTATTTACATAAAAACCTATATTATCCTAATTATAGAACATAATGTAATGAATAAAAAATAGTTTAACCGTTTGTGATAAATTTATAATTTTCTGAAAAATCGATAACATTCTAAATTATGCATTTATTAAAAAAAATTTTTTTTTTTTTTTGTACAGTAGTTTGAATATGTTTAACAAGTGGCTGAAAAACTAATAAAGAGCCTACACACATTTTTCATTTAAAATAAATTTCCTTATCATAGTTGGTAAGTAAAAATTTGATTCAATTGACTTGTTTATTGTCATTGTCAATTTTTGCTAAGTGTTACATTTCTTTAGTTAAATCCATAAAATAATGAAACCACACTATTTGGCTATTTTTAAACACTTCAGGAGCACGAAAAAGTGTCATGAGTAGTAATGATTAAGTTTATTCAAAATTATTCTCTTATATAAACGAAAATAATTTAGGGGGACCTACATTACAAGTATCGATAATGTTTTTCTTCTTCTATAAATAAGGTCAACCTTAACGTATAATTTTGTAAATAAATTGAATTGTTTATCTATAATGTGTTTCTTTGAATTATCATAGTTCAGTATCAGCATGCTGATGAAAAATGAACACAAGTTTGGTTAAGATTAAGAACATATAGTTTCAATTATCAAATCATCATAGAAATGATTAATGATTTTCTGCCTCAGTGAAGTTTCTACTTTCTACCCCTATTTATTTTATTTTCCATTTTTAAACAGAAAAAAAAAAGAAATATATAAGAATAATATATTGGTAAAGAAGAATGTATAATGTAAGAATAAAATACTAAAATGCACAATAAAATCATAGCTAAAAGAATTATGGATAGGGAAAAATAATATGTATAACGCAGTGAGTCGCGGTCTTTAATGTGGAAGAGAGAAAGGTGGTCTCTTATTCTAGCCCGGGGTTATTTGTTAGGTTATGTTTAAATAAAATAAATGAAAATATTGATTATATGCGCAAAAATATATTTTACATAAATAATAGTAGGTCATTTATTATCTATGATATTTTACCACAGAATAAATTGAAAACGCTGTGCTTTTACTTTCTACTTATTGAATAGTGAAATTTTCTGAATTTTGAATTAAATAATCATGGTCAGTACTTGTGCCTTGTGCTACAATAACAGCAAGAATAATAAAAACGTTTCTTTTCATTGGTAAGTATTCTATAACAATATATTATATTATGTAGTCAACATAGTAATTACTAATTTCTTGTACATGTATAAATAGTAAAATATGTTATTTTTACAGTTTTCCAAAAGATGTATCTAAAAAAACTAAATGGCTTAAAGCACTTAATTTAACTTCGGTATCCAATTGGAGTAAAATTTGTAGCTACCATTTTAGTGCTAATGATTTTAGATTTAGCAACAAACGAAATGTCCTTCAATCGACTGCAGTACCAACCAGGTAGGGACCTCAATAAAATTAATAAATCCAATTATTATAAAATAAAAATTCGCTAATAATATAATTTTACTTTTTAGTAATTATAAACGCATAGAAGAAGAACACAGTTATGTTAATAAACGTAAATTATTTAAAAGTAATCCAACAAACATAAGGCTAGGAGGAGGGAAAGCTAGGAAAATAATAACTGATCCTATAGTTGACAAAGCAGTGAACTTTATTCGACCCAACACCGAACTATTTCATCGTGACAGTGATGATAATTTCAAAGGCATTTCAAATCAAATGACCACTGGTATGTTGCTCATAATCCATGAACGTATACATTTATTATATTATTATAAAATGATTAAATTTTCAACATATTTTAGACCCAAATGACTTCGATGACGATATTGTGGACAATTTTGCAATTAATGAAAAAGTCAGTAGCATAATTAGTTATGTAAACATAGTTATGTCACAGACTACATTTTAAACGTTTAATATAATCTGTGGTAATGTCAATAGTATGTTATTGCATACCTCATAACTTCTTGTGTTATTATAGGTACCAATTATTAGTGATACCAAAGAAGAAATAGTAACCATTGATGATTGGTCTCAGAGTAATCCTGCTATGTTGAAAACTCCAATATCTGCTGTTCTTCGCCAACCACAACTATCAACCCAGATAATACCCTTCACTTCCAGTTTCTCACTTTATACTGAAACATTAGAGGACATGCAGCCCGCAGCTGCAACTACTCCAAATCAAATGAAAACTATGATAATAGTTACTCCACAGAAAGGAAACAAAAATGATGTTTCAGGTAGAAAACCGTCCCTAACGACGTCAGCTTCAAATATTCTATTGAAAGCCAACGTTTCAACACTTCATGCAACTAATATGGATGTAAGAGAAGAACACAAACTTCAAATGAAAATACTAAAACTTCAAGAACAACAAGAAGTTGAAAAATTAAAACAGGAGACCATTAAAACTGAAATGTTAAAAGTGCAGTTTCAGTGTGAAACTGGGGTAGAATGGGATATTTTTGATGGTCAAAAACAGGGCTAGGATTTGTATGCAATAAAAAATCGTAAAATATGCATTTTGTTTATCAAAATATGCATTTAAATTCGTATAAGATAAATACAAAAATAGTTACAAAAAAAATATTTATTTATTGAAATACGTTAGTGGTTGGCTGTTTGTCTTAATATAATATTATTGAGAAGTAAAATAAAATAAAATAATTTGAAAATAAAATTTAGAATTCACATTCAATAGTGGAAATACGTGTGTTACATGCTACAAAAACATATTTTTTTCAAATTTTCGAATATAAATGATCAGCGTTTGGATCACAGTATTGATTTATATTGACTGAAGCTTCGTTCAACGTCACATGATGTAGTTAACGCATATTTAAATAAAAATATTTGTCCTAGTGTTAAATTACAACTGAAATTGTCCTTGTCCGATTCGACATTTAATATTTTATTTATTGACTGTAGAGTTTTAAATCTTTTTTTTTTTTTGTAAAACCAAGAATATTTTGTTTTTAACTTTTTAGCAACACTGTCATCTGAACACCGCTCAGAATCGTTTTTTCGTTAGCAATGGTTTATCGTTGCTATACATTCAATTTTTGCATGTATCCTAATTTCCCACCTACAACAGTGGCTACACCCATCCTTTTTTATATTGTATTTCTTCTTGGAAACGTAACAGAACGCCTGCACTCATTGGTTCGTTCCCTCGAAATTTATATCTGTTATAAAAAATTTTTTATTGGTTATGATCTGATGTATAATGATTACCGACTATTGTTTGTAATTCGCGTTATAATATGTTAAATTGAGAACTTCAATACGTATTTTGTATGTTCAGTTGTGTTCGCACATAAACATGTATAACGGATGTTTTATTTATCTTTATTGCTGGGTAGTTTTTATGTCTCACGGCTTTTCTGTCACATAAATTAAATTCAAACTGTTTTTATTTGAATATAATATACTTTTTCCCCAAAAAATTCTGTTTTAATCTTTATTTTATTATCTTCTCTCACCCATGTATTCTGATTTCTAGAACACCGTGCTGAGTAACTGTATAAAATCCTGAAGCTCCGGTCTCCAGGTTGGTGACCTTGTTTACCATATATGCACTAGGATACTCGTGTATTAATACAAGTATAGCGATCGAAGCTGTATGAATACAAATTTGTTTTAATTTATAATTCTAGTACGAGTAATTTATATCATCATTATCATTTAACGGGAAAATATAAGAAATATAAGTATTAGTTAAAATATATTAAGATTTTTTTTTTCCTGTGCACAACTTTTCAAACAGCAATTTTGCTTTAACTTATAATGATAACAATGTTTACAAAAGGAAATTTCACTAGGGAAGTACTTTAGGAAGGTCGTTTTTAGAATGTTTCAACAGTTTCATATAGTACCTATTTTAAATCAATATGTCGTTCTACAAAAAATGTATAAGTTTTAAATTGCCTGTGATTATGTATTTAATATATTTGAACCGGTGTTGGTTAATTTTAAGAAATGTATAATTTATGGAGGGGAAAAGTATTACTACTTTTGAACTCATTGATATAATATTTTGTTGTTTAAATGCATATTGTTATTTTATTGTATATAATAGTAATATTTAAAAACATTCACATGCATACCTAATACATGACCACCCGAATTGTCCACCTCTTCATCGACCATATAGACCACGCCTAATTTTTTTATCATCTGTTATATATTATCAGTTTTTATCTCTTATCAACGATATCATTACCAAGTTCTCATCGGCGACATTAATACCACGATCTTATCTAACCTATGCCAGGTGCTATACTTAATACATGGCCGCCCATACAGGTGCAAGGAGCTATACCTAATACATGGCCGCGCGAACTGTCCACCTCTTCATCGACATATATTTTTTCCCCACCCCCTTTTTTTCAAAATATTTATTCTTTTATTCTGTTTTAGTTATTTTTTACAAAAATTGTTTGTTATGTAAGATTTTTTTTTTTGTTTTATAAGAATTTTAAAATCATAGTTTGACACAAATCGTTTTAGTAAAAAATTATGTAGATATTTTGTGATGTATTATTATTGTTTTAATGGTAACAATACTTAGTATACGATTTCAATTATAGACACAAATCTTCATTAACATGTCTCTTATATTAGATATCTATAAATAAATCATTATCATGGTTTTTACACCAATGCAACTAATAAAAAAAAGACCAAAAATACTTCGCGGATGCCCGTTGTTACTTAAGAATTTTGGAAGGTAGAGGGTAAATTTAATGTATATCTATCTATATATATATATATATATTATATAGTTTGTTTGAATTAGGAAAAAATAACACTTAGTTGTATAATATTATTTTATTTTAATTTTTTTTTTTTTTTTTTAATTTTTTTCATCAGTTTCCATTTGCTATAATAAAATTAATAAAAAGAAAATGTATTATTTTCCCATATTTATAGTTATAGAAGAAAGTGAAAATGGAAATAGCGTTAAAACATTAATGCATACTTTTATATATTTAAAAACGCAAATTCATAACACAATTAAAAACAAAATTAAAATAAAAGAAGAGTGGTTAAAAGGTAAGTCCATATGTAATAATTTAATTATTAATTGAATTTTATTAAAGTCGAATTCTTTCATCATCATATGAGGAAATGGCAAAAGCAAACAAAGTTTACAGGAAACTGTTGATAGTGCAATTAAGAAAGCAATTTGGGATTGATTTGTTAAAGCTAAATCTCAAAATATTCCAATTAGTGATCCGATACTTCAAGAAAAATCCTAGGACATCGCAATTAAATGGGTACGCTAATTTCAAGGGATCCAATGGTTGGTTGAAATATTTTAGAAAAAGACATAATATTACATGGAATCAATTAAGTATGTAGAGAATCAAATAATCTCAATATTGATGACATAAATTAATGGAAATCAAATTTAGGTGAGATTAGAAATGATTATGATAGTGATTGTATTTATAATTGTGATGAAACGGGCTTATTTTTTCGCGCTATTCTTTCAAAAACATTAAAATTAAAAGAGGAACAATGTAAATGTGGTTAACTTTCAAAAAAAAAAAAGTAACAATTCATCCCTGTGGAAATATGGCTGGTGAAATAGAAAAACCTTCAGTAATAGTAAAGGCAAGGAAGCCTAGATTCAAAAATATTGATGTAGAAAAACTCATGGTACTCTTTATAAAAAGGTTTGGCTGGCTGGAAGTATTACGGAAGTTCGGTTAATAAAACTGAACAGTAAAATTTTTTTTTAAAAAAAAAAACATTATTCTTTCTTTTATTTGTATAATACTGCGTGTCATCTAAAATTCGATTTGTCAAACATAAAAATATTACAATATTACAAGCTATTCAACGTTAAAATGCAGCTGACAATCAATTAAAACTATAAACAATAAAGTCGTGTTTTGCAAATGCTGGGTTTAATGAAAATTAAATAAACGATAAGAAAAACGACAATGAAGAATATGAAGACGTCCAGCGGTTGTCTACTTCTATGGGTAATTGACATAGCGATTTTATAAATTTAGATAAAAACGTATATACAGATGATGACGACGTGAATGTTTTAATTTATTAAATCAATCTGATTTTGAAAATGAAGATAAAGGGGACAATGAAGCAAATTATAAAGAAAACCAATTGAAAACATATACGGAAGCACTTTTATACATCAAGAATCTGGAACAATTTTCGATGAATAAATGTAATAGTAAGTTATTGGAATAATGTCCTGGGCAAAAATATAAGTTGAAAACAGCGTTGTTAAAGAAATAACCTGACACGAATTTTGGAATTTCAAATTGTATATTAAACTGCCTACTTTATTTTATTATATTACTAGTTGACCCGACGGATGTTATCCTGTCTTAATTATGAATATTGAATTCTAATTGGTTAGTTAATAAAAAAAGTATTTCAAAATAAAAGTGTTTATTATTCTAATGCTTTTTGATGTACGATATTCTTAGTTTTTTTTTTCTTGCGCGTATATAAATAGTTTTGTTGGTATTCCGACTCGGGAACAGGCGACGTATAACCGGACATGTGAAAAACATGGATTTTAAAATTGATGCCACAAACACTTAGCGACTGCCCTTGAGATTTATTTATCGACATTCAAATGCTAGCAGCACTGGAAATTGCAACCGTTTTTAAAGTCGAATGGCATTTCGTTCAGAACCAAAAGAATCCGTGGAATCAAAACGTCTTCGCCTTTGTACTTCCCTTTCAAAATTGTGGCTTCGATGACGTTATTCATTAATTTCTTCACTAAGTCGGGTGCCATTGCAAAGACGCGGCTGGTTTATATTCCGCAACATAATGATTACCGATCCGATTTTTAATTGCAGACTATGAGGTAGTAATCCAGGCAATTCCAGCGAATTTAAAAACTCCGTTGGATAGTTGATAACATCATCTTGGTTAGTAACGAAATCAATCGATTTTAATGTCAATAATTCACCAGCTGTCTTATTTTGAATTTGAAAATTAATTTCGTTCACATCGACGTTTTTTGCAGCCAATATAACTCTTTCACTCAACCATACATGATCTTTGTAATTTTGAGCAAAGTTTGGAAAACTTTCTCGATGAGTTCCGTCTTAGTTTCAGTAGAGTAATAAAAATTGGTAGGAAATATGATGTTTCTAGACGATTAGTCAACAGGTATTTTTCCATTACCAATATCGAGCAATTGTTTGGAAAAAACTTTTCCAGATTGGTCGTTCTGCAATTCGACTAGCATGTTCATATTTAATTTGAGCATTTTAACGTCTTTCCATAAAATGGATGACTTTAAACATGCGTTAAGTTCGTCGGCTGGCGTTGATCGTGGTATTACTGGTAGTGTTTGGCGAAAATCACCTGCCAATAAAACAATTGCATCACCCAACCGGTTTTGGTTCTTTCGTAAATCTTGCAATTTACGGTTTAATGCTTCCAAAGATATTTTATGTGCCATCGTGCACTCATCCCTAACTATTAATTTACTTTGCTGCAACACTTTGGCCATCGCAGAATTTCTCGAAAGTTGGCGTTTCATTTATTTGCATGTTCGACGGCAACTTGAGTGCAGAATGAGCTGTTCGACCGCCTTCCAAAAACGTGGCTGCAATATTTGACAAAGCAAGTGCACGTGCAATATTTTGCATCATTTTGCGATCGAATTTTTGCCAAAATCAATGATATTAAAAACATTTTCCTAGTCCCGCCGGGAGCATCTAAGAAAAAAAAACCACCAGTTCCATCGTTCACTACTTTCATTAGCGTATCGTAGGCTTATTTTTGTTGCTCATTTAAAAAGGGAACGTTTCTTAGAACAGTTTCTTTTAATGCCTCGGAATCATATTGGGTTTCGCGTCTCAACTCTTGATTAAATACGTCGTGCATTGGGCGATTGGGCGTTGTCATTCCTAATTGTATTAATAGTTTGTTGGTAAGCATCAAGCACATGTCTTCAACTAAAATGATTGCTTTATTGTACATTTCTTAGTTAATTTGCAAATTTGCATTTGATATTCTAAGACGCTTCTGATGTAATATATCTTCGGCCATGTGATCTTTATATTTGTTCAATAAATCAATCGGCGTTGATGGTAAACATGGAGACAAAATTATAGAAAACAATGTTCGTATTTGTTTAGCATTAGACGAAATCACAGCATCTTCGAGGTGTGGTTTTGACAAAATATAACAACAGGTCTACAACTATTATATTCAATGATAACCAATAGCAACCTTACAATAAACAAAAATATAGTTTATTTTCTTGCTGGACAGTGACGTTTTTAAATCTAGATTCCGTACTTTTCCGGTAGATTTTCCTAAAATTGTATTACATAAGAACCTTCTCCTGGCAATTACGAACACAACAAAAAAAAATTAGCGAAATCGATCCAGCCGTTCACGCGTGATGCGATGACCAAGGGAAACAGGGATCCATTTATATATACGAGGGCTAATCAAAAAGTATCGAGACTGATAATATTAGTCGGAAACCGAGCGTTGAAGAGCAAAACGATTTGTAAACCTTGCTTCTGTGACTTATACTGAGCACATCTATTCGTATAAAATCTCTATAAACTTCTTCGTTTTGATTTGACGATATTTTTCTAAAATTTGTTTTTCACGTTTGGCGATTTCGTAATGAATCCAAACCATGAAATGTTGCATCCCTCTGAAACTGGAAAAAAATGCAGACAAATTTTCTAAAATCTCCAAATCTGTCAAGTTACTCTTCTTTTGGGTTTATTACAAAATCGCCAAAGTCGAAAAATATTTTTTACAAAAATACCAGTGAAATCAAACCGAAGAATTTTATAGAGAAGCAATAAAAACAAATGTACTCAGAAAAAGTCATAGAAGCAAGTGATACCAATCCTACTGCTCTTCGATGCTCCTTTTCCGAATGATACTATCAGTCTTGATACTTTTTGATTAGCCCTCGTATATATATATGCGATTTTTGTGTGTTTTAAATCGGCCGGAGCCGATGAATTATAATTTGCCGATAATCAAATTTTAAAAATAAGAATTCTGTTAAATAATAAAACTGGGTGGTCTGCAACCACGTCGGCGGGCGGACGATGTCACCAAACGCACCGACCGGCGTGTGAATTTTTATATTCTCACACGTTATACAATGTTTCGACATAAAAAATATATTAATCTCTCTCAAATAACGAACGTAAAATGTTGTGTGGTCATAACATTGCATCATTATTACCAACGCATATTTAGGTGGTAAATACTGTTTTGTAGAGTTTGTTTGATGAAATCCTATAATTTCATCTTTTTTAGAGAATAAAATAGGTGGGATTTTAATGCCATTTCATCAACGCATAGAATACAGTCACGTGCATCGTTATTAAAATTAGAAATATTAAATTGTAAAAAAATTAAAGAGAAAAATCATATAATCCTGGATTAAGTTCGTACTTGCTTATCATTTTTCTTAAAGTCTAATATAAGGTAAACTTAAAAATCTATACACACTTGGTTCCAAGAAATAAATGGTTAATACAAACTGCTTGAATACCTGTAGCACTAAGAATTCCGTTTCTTACATACCATGTGGGAACTTCATTATTGCCAAAATAGTCTGTGCCAGATGTTTTTCATAAGCTTTTAAAATAATTATCAGCTGTGTCGCATTCAGATAACTGATTATTCAAATTAATTACTGATTTTTCTGTTTTTCTCGAGCTTCTCTTTCTGCATGTAATTGTTCTTTTAATACATTTTTTCTAGGTATTTTATTAGACCAGGATTTCAGAGTTAGCACACATTATGATAAACCTAAAAATATGACTATTTAATAAACGAATAGAATAAAATAAAACCTAATTGAATACTAACTTGAACAAGATCTAGATTAATTGAATAGAGAGGATGATGATGAAGTATCCAAGTATGCGCCATCAAAAACATCATTTTCATCTAATCCAGAAGTCAAACAATTTTCAATCCACTTTGTACATCTTAAATCAAATTTAAATTGCTCATTTTTAGAATTCATATAATTCATTAATATAATTAACAGTTATTTTGATTAGCATTAAGTAAGCACCTGATTGGATCATTTTTAGGAAAAGTGAAATATCTATAATCCTGATTTCGGAACATTTTATTACCACAATTGTTTACTACATATTTAACACTCGATCTATTTGTATAATTCATAATCAATTTGAAAGTTTAAACTCGTAGTTATTAATAGTTATAGTTTAGTAGGACCCCCCTAAAATTTGGTTCGCCCCACCTGATGATTTGGTCTGGCTACGGGCCTAGTCAAACAATAATAATTAGTATTGTTCTTAACTTCGCGGCGAATATAGGTGTTATTTTATTTGTATTCTGGATTTGAAACTATTAATATCATCAGAGTTATTCTAAAAGGAAAATATCAACAAGGATCTCTGGACATTGAATTCACTTCCGATTTAGCAAATTTATAAATTATGCCCTAATCACATCAGCTGACATGGTCGTTTAGTCAATAGAAGAATATTCTTCGACCAAACGTCGCAATTTTTTTTCGCAAACCTTCAGCAATATGTTATTGCTTATTGCTTTGTTCCAGAATAATATTCATTGTTTTAAATACCTACATTATTTGTATTACTCTTACTTAATATTTATTTTTTTTGTAATTTTTAATACTAACATATTTTTTCGATATTTACATATTTTGGATTTTTTATTCCATATTTTAAGAAAAATTGGTACATATATTGATTTTTTTATTACAATAAAATCCGCTTCCTAGTAATAAGGATGTCTAATACTCTAGAAACTGTACCTTTTTCCATCGATTGAATCTTTCATACTATCGAATGTATTGCCCGGCTTTAGCCAAATAAGTATACAATTAATTAATGTTTAATGTAATAATAGTATAACCACATATTTTTATTACATTTGTGTAATATTAAATTAATAATTTACTTACCAAATGTTGTTTATGCTCAAAATTTTTCAACATTGTACCGGCTTAACGTAGGAATAGGACTCAGATGAGAAAAATAAATAAATAAATTAACACTACAACTCGAGTTTACAAATAATTAATATTTCACTCAAAAATATTACAATTCCAATAAATAATACTTCACAAATATACTATGTCCAATAATACAATTCAAAACATCAAAAATATTCTAATTCCAAATAATTTATAAATATATACAAGTCCAAATAATAAATATTAGAGTGACACAAATTGCTCACATTCGATCGTGGTGAACTCGACTGGTTTTAAGGCGATTCGGTCGGCGTTATACATGCTCGGAGGGACCTCTGCAACCCGTCGTCCATAGTCACGGCTATCTATATTATTCATTTTTTGTATTGTTTACATTTTCATACATCCTGAAAATAATTGTATCTATCTTTTACTCATCGGCTGGTATGTGGAAAATGTAAATAATGTACCACAAAATCAAACAAAATGTATGATTAGTTATCATTTCATGGTTAGGTGATAGATTTTAGGCTTGGGCTGTGCCCCTCGTATATCCACACAATACAAGTCGAAGCGCCCCTCTTTCCCCGGTATTAAATTAACTCCTATCATACCTATTCGTCCAGGTACGGTTTCGGTTCACATGCTGAGTTGTTCAATCGACTATACCTCTATTACAACCCTTATACCCTTATACATATATTACATACATGATAAGCACGTGGGCACGTAATAACATATTCACTAATAGGTGATAATGTTCTGTTGTCGTCAACTGTAATAATTGTAATGATTGCCAATAATTTTCAAGTTGGTAGCCATTTTTTTTTTTTTTTAATTTTTGACATTTAAAAGAGTATAATTATAATGAAATACAATAAAATATTTATGGTCATGGTTTTTAAAGGTATAATTTAATTTATACAAATATTTATTTATTTATCTATTCCTGACTATAAATCATAACAAAATTATTTAGTACATTTCATTTTATGTAAATAAACAGGCAACTCATCTACTTACTTTAAAATTTTCTCGCATTATGCCAATATACCGATAGATCATTGCTAAATTTAAAGGGCCAAAGTCACTGTAAAAGCCATCATACACCAAAAAATCATCAACGTTTAGATAAAAAACAGTGTTGTCATTGAATGATTTTTCCAATTATTAAAAGATTGAATTGTTGTTGAATCTTTAAGCTCCAACATTCACTAATGTAAACTTGTTATGGGCATCCACTATGGCTAATAAGACTATTGAATGCGTCCCTTTGTAATTATAGTATGAAGATCCACTTTTGTTTGGGCATCGTATTTATACGCGTTTCTCGTCCAATGCTCCCACGCAATGTGGATAATGCCGTTGGTCATTAAATTCGTTAGCAATACATTTCAAGTGGTTTTTATCAGGCTCAATCATGTACATTGGTTGCAGAATTTTCCAAATGGCTTTACAGCATTTGTTTGCAATTAATCCAGCGGTAGTGAAACCAATTCAAAAAATAAAAATCCAACGATCTATAAGAATTTCCAGTTTTCTAGGTACCTATAACAAAAATATTCGTTTCGTTTTTTGTGAATTTACGGGTATCGACAATTATATTATAACATTATTATAATTTTTTTAAATTTTTTTATTTTTTAGATGATCAGTGTAAAGATTCACGGAATAAATTACTCAATGCTTACATTAACGCTTTAAATAGGAGAAAAACCAAATCCGGTCAAGCAACCAAAAAAATAACAAAATGGGACATAAAGATCAAATGACATTCCTAAATCCCACCGTGTCGAATCCATGTTGAACCATGATTAAATAATTATCAATAAACTACAGTTTTCTGTTGAAATTTTGAGAGATCATACTTCAGCTTTGAAGGATTAGTAAATTTCGGGGATGGACTCGCAAATTCTAGAACATTAAGACGAAAATATTGACACCATATTCCTGGCAATTATTACATTGATTGATTGTTTTTAGCTTGTACGGTTCTTCAGTTTTAACTTTAGAATGTAAAAGTGAGGAGAGTTGGAATATTTCGCTTGAGTTTGGGGTTGGTTCCGAGTCAACAAAGAAGAGAGGTAATTGCAACTTAGTTGTTCTATGAAGAACATTTGTTACGCGTCTGACTTCAAAAAGACGAACTTCAAGTTCTTCCTTAATTAATTCAGTCTGTATTGTCGGATGGAGACTTCGGATGACGATGTGTATCGGTATATTTTCCTTAAGCTGGTAAGTATGAAATTCCGCGTTTTGTTCTTTTAAATATCGGACGAGTGATCTGTAAGAATCCGGTTGGTAGATTGAATTTTTAACCGATCTGAAGAGGATTTGCAAAAAAAATTGTCGACACCAATAAAATCTATAATTTTTGTACACACTACCGAATAATCAATCACACCTCTCACAAAAATAGGAGGGAGAGGTTTTAATGTATCGTTGAGATTATTATTGTGAACGAAAACATTATTCATTGAGGTTATTTTGGGGGGTTCGTCCTGATTAGGGACTTCAAAACGGTTCATGTTTTTAAATAATTTTTGTTTTTATTTTTGGTGATGTCGGTGAGTCACTGACTGACGTAGATGAGGAATTTGATAAGTTCCGTTTATTTTTTTTCACAGTAAAATCGTCGTTTGAGATATCAGTCAATGAAAATATAAGATTTTTGTCATTATTTTTATTTTTAGTTGCATTATTTGAGAGATTAGGCACGTGTGATTTTTTTGTTTATCTTCATTATATTTTGAATGAATACTCTTATTGTTCCATCCTTTTAGTATTAAGCAAAATATTTGTTTTAATTCCAATTTTATAATACAGCCCAATGATTACCGATCAAACCCCGAGCGTTGTTTCTCCGATGTCCCCGACCTTACATGTTACTTTCCTAACACAGTCGCACACGGGAACCTTCCGTTAACCTGTTGCCTACGGAAATTCCGCATGAACACCAGTTTATTTTGAAATCGTCCTTGATTACAAAAAGTTATTAATTTTCTACCAACTTTTTGTAATATTAATAGGGTCCTTAAATAAAATTTAAGTTTAATATAATGTGACTATGTGAGTGAGTGATGAGTCAGATAACAGTCATAACTACCGTATTATTATTTCAAATATTTAAAAACTAGATTTTTTTGTATCTATTAAAAATTTACATTGGTGGATAACTTGTATGTCTGCATATTATTGTTATTATTATTATAGGTATTTACATAGTAAAAAATTCATAAATATGTTATGTTATATATTATAATACATATTATAAATCCATTAAATCACTTTAAAAATTTGAATATTCGAATTTTCGTGACGAAATCAATTATCTATCAATTTATCATAATATACTTTTCAAACCAATAACAAGTAAATAACGGTGACAAGGTAGTTTTCCTTAATGTTGCAATGAGATCCTCATTAGTCTTCATGTGTAAAGTTTATTATTTAATGCGCGTGCGTAGGCTATGCCATTTTTAAAAAACTTAAACGGTTCTCAAGCAAAGAGTTTTGCATTAAAATATGGTTTTTGACCATTAAAATTCATTAAAAATTATTTTAACGGATATTTACAAAAAAAAAATAAGTATGTTCTCAAATTAATTTTAAAAGTTAACCCCCAAAATCTCCTCCCCTCCAAAAAGAAAAAAAGTACAAATTATTTTAAGTGTTTATAAATAAAGAAACATTTTTCTCTATTTTGAAAAGTTATAGGAGAAATTTACTGTAACATAAAATTCTGATCACTCTGTATATAACAGTGTTATACTGTTATATACCTACATATTTTGTTCTTTAACTATGTAAAATTTTAATGCTAAATTCAAAAGTATTCAAAAGTATTAGTTGTAGAATGTACTCACCATCGCTGTAAGCAATAAGGAAAATGTATCTGTATGATAATTTTTGTTAGAACCTAGTACTTAATAGCAGACAAAATCTATTTTGTTTCTCTTCTACACATAATCGATAAATATAGTTCCCTGCTAGGTATTTCATTTTAATTTGTAAAAGATTAAGGAGAATTCTGTTTACTAACATTCTGTTAGTAAACCAAAACTCCATAAAAATATTTCATTTTTTGTCTAGGCTATTTCCGAGTAAATAATAGACAGACATGATACAAATAATATAAGCACTTAATAATGTAGCAACTTGGCCGGTTCTTGTTTAAACATTTGCGCACGCTGTAAAATATCATAGTATAATTATTATTTCGACTGACGATATTTTGACTTTGGAAAAAATAATAATCGATAAGCCTTTGATTTTTTCGTACGAGAAATTTATCTCAATAGAACAGCAAAAATTACCATCTTGTTGAAACACCGTGTTAGGAAGTTTACAAATAATAATATATACAAAAATATAGATACGATATGTATGTATAATTATTTTTTCGTAGCTTTTAGTCGATCAACTCGTTTAACTAATGCACTTTGGCCCGGGAACGTTATCGGGAGCGTGTCAGGTCTTGGTTGTTGTTACTACCGGTGAAATTAACGATTTATCCGTCATCGGAGGTGTGTCGTCGTAATGTAAAAAAATGACTGTTTACGCAAGAAGTGGTAGGTAAGAAAGGGCTCTTTTTCGGCGGAAATCGAAATACTTCCTTGCAGACCCAAACATAATGGTTTTCCTCTTGCCACGGAAGGGTAAATAATTTCCGCCGACGGTGGTTCATTTAGTTAATGGACGCGTTGGCGTCGGACTCGCGTGACTTCCGTCCGGTATTACGGCAGTAGCGGGATGTGTGTAAGCAACAGGAGGAGGGCTGGTTTGATGAAAACCCGTTACTAAGAAAATGTAACTCCGTTAATTTATATATGTTTAAATACTCTTAATAACTCTTAAAATCTACCTAACTTTTAATTGTTATTAACTAAATTCTATTATCACATTTTAATATACACTTTTTTTTTTTTAATATCATCACTAAATAGAAGTGCATCATCTTCAAAATCATTATTTTTTCTATAATCAAAAATAAGCCAA